TCAATCAATCAATCCCTCTTCCCAAGGAACTCTGAGAATTGTACTTCTCTGAGGGAAAAGGGGGTCTCTTAGCAACTCTCAGCACCCTTGACAAACTATAGGATTCTTTTGGGTAAGCCATGATGGTGTCAAGTGACATGAAGTTGCTTGAAATGTATAGTGCAAATGGGGCCAAGAACGCTGAAGTGGAAAGTGCAAAACTAGGGAAGCTGAAATGGCAGAGGCAGTTCACTAGTGCAACCTAGTCATCACAACCTAGGGGTTGGTTAGGTTGGCCCCTGCCAAGGATGCAGGATGGGGTTTGTGTGCAAAAATGGTGCCTCTCTTGGTGGAGGGATCTGCACACTGGAGTGGGGCATTGAGGGAGCCTTGAGGAGCCCCCTCCCATGTCGGTGGGAGCGCTGGATGTCCTCTTCAGGCTCTGGGGAGGGTGTCCTCGCAAGCCACAAGGACTCTCCAGGGTGCTCCGTATTTTCACTTCCAGGTTCCCAGCACTGTGCATGTGCGTGGTTGCAGGCAAGTAAATCACATGTAAATGGGGAGCAAGGGATTGGGGGAGGGGCACAAGGGAGCAGAGATATGCCTCTGACCACAGCAAAGAAATGTTGAATTCCATGATGCAAATATACTTACAAATATTCATAACTGTGCATATCATGTTTACAAAGTCCTCTGAAGTTATTCTTTCAGCAATCTGACCAGGGTTAGGGAACTATGGCTCTTCAGGGGCCAGGGATCATGAGAGTTAAAGTTCGGCAACATCTGGAGGGCCAAAGGTTTCCCATGCCTGCCGCATGATGGCATATACACCAGTGGTCAAAATTGTGGAAACCTTGTGGGGAAAATGTATTTCTGAGGTTTGATGGCTCATAAGACCACATTTTGGGAGTAATGCCATAAAATCATATATCAGTTGAAAGGTAATTTAATGAAGAATGTAATGCAACAAAGTTTGTTCAATTATTTGTATTCTATCAAAAGCTATAGCCAAATAACCAGAAAAAGGAGGCACAACTTGCTTAGGTTGATATGCAGTAACTTTCCTTTGTTTGAATGTAGCTAGTTCCTACATCAGCAATTTTGACATGATCCCATCTTTTGTTGTCTAACTCTCAAGTACCTTATTTTCATCAGTAACATGAAAGACACAAATTACTCCAGCAGAAAAAATAACGTGTGTGTGTGTGTGTATCTCCAAGTTGGAAACAGAGGTCAAAGTCGGTTGCTGTGTCCTGCGGATGCCCATTAGCTCCCTCCCTCGTTTGGCTGGGTACTCTTTGCGTACAACATGCACTATTTTAATCAATGCCATTGCGTGAGCATTAAAGATGCCAGGAGCTACATTGCTGGGCAGCATATGGCACAGCTGCTGTTTCTCTTCTTGGTTTTTGCCCAAGTTCTATTTCTCTTAGAACAGCAGACATTTTCTTCCAAATGCAGATCACAAGAGACAAGAGCATCTGACCCCTAGTGTGCCACCTTTGGCTCACACTGGGCTTTAAACTAAACCCTTTCTCAAATAGAAAAGCAAGAGGAAAGGGCAGGAGGACAGGCGTATTTGAAGAGAGATCAGTGCTATTGGGGGGAGAAAGAGCTTGCGATTACAGACTTCCTGATGATAGAAGCTAGAGGTTATGAGTCAAAGTTTTCCCCCCAAAGTAGAACAGGTAATAAGAAAACTCGCCCACAAAGTCCTGAAATTCCAGCCAAGCACAATGCAGTGGAAATGAATCTAACTTTCCCCCTTATTATAGTTTTTGACACATGCTCTGGTTTCTCATAGTTGTTTTTTTTTTATTGTGGCTTACAAGGCACTGTGATTGACAGCTCCCACCTTTATGATCTTATTTTTTCTATCTATTTTATCTCCAGGTAGGCTCCTTCAGATTGAGCAAGGTTTTGTTTGTTTGTTTTTAAAGTCCAGAGAGGACTTGTATCACAAGAATAAACAACAACCTGATCTGTCTAGATTCTTATTGACCATAGATAACCATAGAAACCTACTCTAATTAGTTCATCCTTCTGAGATGGCATTCAGGTTCAATTTCATGGTTCTTCCATGCTTTTGGGAACAACACGAACATTCAACCAGGAATTTTTCTGGTGTGCACGCACATGCTTTCAATCTAGAAGCATTCCACCTTTTTTTTGCTTACTGGATCTTTAATCCATTTGTACCCAATTATATCCAATATTATCTACACAACCTTTCCAGTAAAGATATACATTTGTAATGTTTATCCCACAAGTCACTTTAATTCTTTCACAGTCAAAGGCGTAGATACAAATGAACTGAATGCAAATAGAGATTAAAACTGGATGTATGTATGTATGGTATACTTGGCAGTGTAACCGACTATCTGCAGATTTGGAATAAATTGTATTTGCAGAAATGCCACGGTGATTCAGCAGTACTGTATGATGAATACTAGAAATTCCATGCTGTAGTAGAAAATTGTTAAAATATATATGCAGAAGAAATATCCTTTATAATAATGAGTAAATGTTCCAGCATTCTTAATCACTGCAAGTCCCATGCTTCAATGCAATCCCAATACATGCAATGCACATGAAGAATAAATGAGCCTGGACAATAACAGATTCACCACATTCAGATGTGACAACTCCACAGGACATTGCATGGTCCAGGTGCTACCGTAGTTGAAATACTGTGTCTAGTATCTCACACTTTGAACAGGGAAGGATTTAGGGCCATGTGAGCAGTGGGCGCTGAGCCGAGGGGGAGCAGTCTCACATTCTAGTACGTAAAGTTCTGGGCTCACCCTTCTGGGATAGCTCAGTTGGTAGAGCATGAGATTCTTAATCTCAGGGTTGTGGGTTCAAGCCTCACCTTGGACAAACGATTCCTGCATTGCAGAGAATCGGGTGGCCCTTGTGGTACCTTCCAACTCTCCTAAGGAGCTGTAAGGATCTGACAGGGTCCTAGAGGCCTCCTACCTCCTTCTCAAAGCCTAGTTAGCACTTTCTCAGCTTTGAGAAGGAGATGGGAGGGCTCTAGGACCCGCCAGAGCCATTGCAGCTCCTTCCCAAAGCTGGGCACCTCCTTACCGGCAAGTAATTATGAGGGGGACATGCCAAATTTTGGCCTCACACAGGGTGCCACAGTACCCAAGACCACCACTGCCTTGAATTATTATTTTTAAAACTGGAAAAGTTACAGAAAAGAACAGCCAGATGATCAGAAAGCTGGAACAACTCCCTTACAAGGAAAGGTTACAAAGTTCTGTTCTTTTTCAGCTTAGGAAAAAGTGAGTAAAGTGGGATATGACAGATGTGTAAAAAATTATGCACAGGGTTAAGAAAATGAATAGAAATGCTACCTATGCTGAATGCTACCTTCCAGGATCAAAGGCAGAGAGTGCCTCTGAATTCTGGGAAGAGGTGAGCAGAAGAGGACTACTGACCTCATGCCCTGCTTGCAGGCTTGCTAGAGTCATCTGGTTAGCCATTGTGGGAAGCAGGCTTTTGATCTGACCCAGGAGAGCTCTTCTTTGGAGTTCTGAATGAGCAAAACACGGAACAAATTTCTCTAGGTGAATTTGAGCAGGCACTTACTTTCATTATACTTTAGAGGAAGGGACACACATAGCTCAGTGGTAGAGCATCTGCTTTGCAGTCAGAAGGTCCTAGGTTCTGAATCGCCACCTTCTGAAATCCTGGAGAGCTGCTGCTTGTGAGATGGGCCAGTGTTTAGACTCAGTAGAAGGCTGCTTCCTTTGCTCCTGCTTTTTTTAACTGTGCCTTTTCCCAGGCATGACAATTTTGGCAAGCATTTTTATGGCACACCAGGGCACCAGCTAAGGAAGGATTTTTTCATTTGGTTTGATTTTGGAAAAACTGCTAGGTAGCTTGAAGAATGTTTAATACTGCATTTATGCCATTATTATTATTATTATTTCTCTCTGGCCATCGCAGTCTGTTTCTGTTACTTGCTCCCTGCCTGCTTCCTTCTTAATGTTCTTGACCCTGTATCTGCCACGTTTTGGCCTTGGATGCCATGGTGCCAGCAACAGTAACCCCATCCCACCTCGCTCCAGTCTCTAGAGGATGACACTTAACATCTCCTTCCACACAAGAGCGATAAAAACTCACAGATCCTTTATGGACGCTGCTTAGTGCACACACCAGTGCTTCTTCCCTGCAGATAGCCTAGAGGGAATCTCCATGCAACCTAAACTTCTTAAAACTAAAGCCAAACTTTGTCTGCTCTCCAGCCTTTGAAAATCTCTCTTTCTTTCTTGGCAAATATAGCCTGGCACAGAAGTCACTTGAAGGGAAGACAGCTAATCTGTCTTTAAAACCCTTTCCCTATTTAGATTCTGCTGCTTTCTTAACCTTTTCCTCTCCCCTTAATAGATTGAGCCTCTTGGTTGCATAATAATTTGACAATGTGTTTTGTTTTGGGCTTTGTCCTGTCAGGCAGCTGGTGGGGTGCATAATGGCCCATGGGTGAATGGATTCTATCACTAGCTGTTTATGGCATGCAGCATCAAGAGAGGTAATTTGGAGCTTGCATGAACTCGTAGCATGGACAGAAGCCTCGGGTCCTCTCTTCCCTCAGTAGATATGTCATTTCTCACTGACACAGCAGCGGGAGAACCGATTCACCCAACTAATTTATCAAATTGAAATAAACAACAACAACCCTGCCAACAGCGAGAAATATGGACATGAGGAGGGAATGCAGAGTCTAGGTAGGACAGGAGAATGTGATTCTTAGGCAGAGAAATGAAAAGACGACAAGAAGCAAAATGGGCAAAGTAGGTGAAGACATCTGTGTAGACATCTGTACTGTACACTTAGCAGGAAAAGTTATCTTGATTTAGGGGAGAGTTTTCACTGTGATGGGATGCGGGTGGCACTGTGGGTTAAACCACAGAGCCTAGGACTTGCTGATCAGAAGGTTGGTGGTTCGAATCCCCACGACGGGGTGAGCTCCCGTTGCTCAGTCCCTGCTCCTGCCCTCGGCCATTAAAGTGAGATGAGCGCTGCAACTCCAGAGTCGGCCACGACTGGACCTAATGGTCAGGGGTCCCTTTACCTTTACCTTTCACTGTGATAAAATAATGTAAATGCTCAAGTGTCAGAGTGTACTTTTTATACATCCATAAAAAGTTGTGCAAAACTAGTCAAGCTAATCCAGACTTCCATGCATCAAAATTTATGTGGTGATGGGCACCTAAAAGGGCTCCAGCGGCTATCTTGAAAATCTAGATTAATAAAATTATGTTAAAAAGAGAGAGAGAACCTACATATGTCTAAGACACTTAAGCTTAACTCATTATATCCAAAATTACATACATTTACCCAAGGTATATTATATGCACAATATTTATAATAGTGGTGAGTGTTTTTCTAAAAAAAATGTTTAGGGGTACTCTCATTTTGACTCAAGAAAATCACGGGAAAGGAAATGAAGTCGCCACTGGAGGTGGTAACAATGAAACTGACCAATCACTGTGATAGATTCCAACTCCTATTTCACACATTAAACGCTCGCTTCCGTCTGAGACTTAGGAAACACCGTGACAGGAAATGAGGCCGCCATCGGGAATAGAAACAGAACTAATGACTCACCTTGCTAGAGAAGAAACTTTTTTTTTTTAGTTTCTTCTCTCACTAGATTCACAAAATGTTTAGGGGTATGAGCCCCCCTGTATCCCCCAGAAAAAAGCACTGATAGTGGTTAAGCCTTGTGAGGTACTATAATGCAGCATGGTTTTATAAGTGTTAATGCATAAGTACTTGTATTTATGTACAGTTATGTGTTTTGTTCTGTACATCTGTACATGCTGGTTACTTTAGGACAGGTTTCCTCAAACTTGGCCCTCCAGATGTTTTGAGATTACAATTCCCATCATCCCTGACCACTGGTCCTGCTAGCTAGGGATTGTGGGAGTTGTAAGCCAAAAACATCTGGAGGGCCGAGGTTGAGGAAGCCTGCTTTAGGAAGCCTGAAGTGTATATGCATGCAATATTGTAGAAATAATAATGTGAATAATAATGCATATGGTATATGAAAATTGTTTGTATTTTTTGTGGAATCAATAAACGATAACAACAGCTTTGCTTCTCACTGAGATTAAGGAGTGAGTCATGAAAGGGGAGGGATGATGTTGAGGGAGGCTCAACATCAGAATTTTCAGAAAATTCCATGCATAGTTATTATTTTTAAAACCCTGAATGGCTGGAACCAGAGCATCTCAACTACCACATTCACCCATTTGAACTTGCCTGAACATTGAGATATGCCCATGAGGTCCTGCTCTGTACTTAACTTGCTTTTCAGACATATTGTAGAAAAGTAGCAGAACTTTGTCTGTTGTACAGCCCAGAATTTGGAATGCCCCCCATGTTGCTCATTTCTCACTAAGTACAATCATGTACACACATTTAACAAGGAAATTGTTTCAGTCTTAAATTCAGTACTCCACAGCTTCTCATCAGTTTGCATTTTTCAAAGTCGTTATGAAAATTCATCAGCATTTCACTGTGAATTTCTCTTCATTTACACTTTTTTTGTATGCAGTCTTGCCTAATATAATGCAATTTGTATGTTCTTTCCACTAATATGGGCACTTCTAAACACACTTTACCTTAGCAGGGAGTAAAGTCATATTGAACTTTTGAGCAGGCATGTATAGGATTAAACTTTTCATTTTTATAATGTGCTTCTTTGGGCACAGTCTTCTTAAAATGTACTCTGACTGCTGCTGGGATTTTTGTCAATTAAAAAAAATCAGATTAGGGATTAGTAACTTGTTTCAGATTAAATTTCAATGCTGTTTACTTGTTATCCATGTTTTACTTTGTTATGTTACACGATGCTATAGTTTTCTGCATTGCACGTCCTGATAGAAAGGTAGGGTGTAATTTTTGAGGATACACAAATAAAAGAAATAAAAAGCAATATTGCAGACCACTAGTACAGTGTTCCCTTGCCTCTCCACAAGCTCCTTATACTTCTCTTCAAGCAAACCTTTGATGTGCTAGTACAGCACCTTTTTTGTGGATCAAGCTATAGGTTAATGAGAAAGAGTAAAATAAAAGATGAAGGCGACGGAGAAAATAACAGATACGAACATTCACACTTGCCTTGCAAGCCTATTAAAGGCTTCCTCTTATTTCATAATAATTGCTGTCTTCCTTATTGACATAGAACATTGCAGCTAGTCAAGTTTCATTTTTATTTCTCTGTGTAAATATATGGGGGGGGGGGAGACCTGTCACTGTAAACAAATGGCAGACAGAAACACCCAACAACTTGTACAGATGCTGTTATGCCTCCACTAGCCAGACAGGTTATTATTAAGTCAGAATTTGTTGTAATCATCTGTTAAATTTAATGCCAGTTTTCATGAGTTGTTTGAAAAACCGTCAAGAAGTTAAATGCTTCCCTGTTTGTATTACCGTTATTTCAACATAAATCTGTAAGTAAGATATATAATAACTCTCAGAAAGAAACAACAAGGATGAATCAAAGTGTAATAGATGAGCATCCTCAAATCAAGACAACCCCGCCCAGTCCACTAGCCATCTGGGAGTACAAAACCTACCTCTTTCTAAAAGTTAGAGATGCCTGAGGAATTTGATATCTGCAACGTCCAAAAGGCACGGACCTGATCAGCAGCTCCCAAGCTAATGTACATCTCAGAACACAGTTTTCCCACCAGCTTTCACATTTAGTAGATTGGCGTGATTCACAGCTCAAAAAATGTACCACAATACATTTTTAAATGAACATGTTGCAAGAAGGCATGTTACAAAACGAGTATTTTAATAGAGATGTCTGTGCATTTTGAAACTAACCAATCAACCCACAATTCATGGGGAAGCAAGATGGAATGGACTTATGGGTGAACATGCAAAACTGGAAACAAACAGACCAACCCATCAAGAGTTCTGACACATGTTTGACTCTGAGCAGTTAATCTGAGATGCTCCAAGTTTTTGTGGGTTCCTGGACAACAGGTTTTAATCCTCCCTGCCAAGTTAGGAAGATTTGAATGTTTGGGGGGAGGGGAGGAAAGAAAAGGCAAAACATTTGTAAGCCTTTTGTTTTGTGAACCTTTTGTTTGCGAACTTTTAATTAAGGTGTGTTACAGAAATGTTGTAATTCCCTACAAGTCTTCCAAGGGCTTGTAGTATATTTGCAGCAGATCAACAAGGCTTTGGGATTCCCAATCATTTAATAATGGAAAGTAAAATAAAGCACATATCTGCCATGGCTGGCCTTGGGCTAATCGTTTATCAGCCTTTGTGGTCCTCTTCTCTAAAACATAAACATAAATCACTCTTGGATTGTGAATCACAGCAGAATAGGAAGCAAATGGCATATTCTTGCACACCCACCCCCATGATGCAATGGAATATTGTGCCTAGGAAGTGAGACTCTCCCAGGCAAAACGCTCTGCTCGTGTCATTTCTATTATCCTTCAACACCTTCCCTCTTCTTCTTAGTGCCTGGAATGCTATGGAAAGGGATCAGGAGGCATTGGTCCAAGTCTGAATTAATTTGCCCTCTAATCAGCTCTGATCTCAGCTTAGCTGTCTGTTCCTGATGGGGACTGACATTGGTCATACAGTTACCCTTTTGCTAAAATTATCTATATATGCATCTAGGATACACATCATTTATCCAAAATATGTGTGTGTGTGCAGAG